AGGATTTTTTCTAAGTGTTCGATCTTTGTATTAATAAAAAACAAACTAGTGGAGTAATTTCACATAAAAATAATTGAATATCAATTCAATAAAAATTAAATATAAGTACATTTAATTTTGTCTTTTGGACTGTTGGATATTATAGCTCTCAATGCTTAAGAATAATTTATATATTTAAGTTGTTTTTTTATAATGCACACACTCAACATAGCCCCGCACTAGGGAGACCCTGTGTCGCGGGTGCCATGGACACACACATAGATAACCACAAATTACACCCAAACTCACGAGACAAATAAATGTAGGCCATTCAAATATTTCTCCGTCATCTATCACCTATCAGTCCGGCATGGTAACCGTTAGACCACGGAACCAGTTAGTTAGTTATATTGAATGACAGGATGTTGCATCGCCATGACATTTTTGTACACAGTTTCGATGCAAAGTCTCACAGCAAACCGTGGCAGGCGCTGTGCCAACTAAGCCACGGAACGAACCAACAGACCTCACGAATTTTTCTATGTGTATGTCGCAGATCTTTGTTATGGTTTTTAACGACTTCTTTGACGTAGCGCCATCTATGAGAAACCTATGAAAGTTTTTTCTTCACTCTTCACATCTACCAGTCGCTGACTATAGATGTCAATTTAATAATTGTAATCAAGTTTTCTTGAAATTTTCTTGTTTTTTTTTTGTTAGTTTTAGTATTACTTCCATAATGCTGCAGATAGATGAACCTCATATATGCAGTTAATGCGTCCGATTCAAATGATGGCCTTTTCACACCTTGCGTTACATGTCCTATTACATCCGCACGCTTGAGTTTGTAATAGCGGCTGCTAATGATGTTGTCAGCTTAGCTAAGATCTAGGAAGAATTATGTGTGGTCTGTGGCCGCAATAATATGAAAGAAAGAAAGAAAGAAAAGAAAGAAAAGTAATTTATTCAGCACAATACACGTGGAGTACAATATTAATAATTAGTATTAAAAGTGTATTATTTCACTGAAAGGACCCAACTCAGCTAATACTGCGGCAGGGCCACAGCGCTGGTTTTCAGTGGACCCTTTTCGAAAATGCCGATTAAAAGAAATAAAAATATATGAATAAAATAAAAACAAAACGTGGACGCGAGTTGAATAAAAACTTAAACATGAAACAATATAATTAAATAGGAAACATAACACAAATTTCAGATAATGTCCCAACAAAGATTCACTCTGCTTTTTCTTTTCAATTTTGTATTTTGAGGCGCATTACACAAATAAAATTGTTCCAGACGTGTTTTGTAGATTTAGAATGTGCTCTTTGAGTTGACATTTGAACGCATAAACGGATTGTAATATAGTGTACGTCAATCTTTTTCCATCCTCCAAGATGCCAACCAAGGAGAATGGTTTTCTATTTAAATTCATGTTTAAAAAGTAAGACTTGTATATAATCAGAGACAAACAAATTATAATAATTAAACAGCCAATTTACCCACCCCACAACAGCAAAAAAAAAATTAAATTAATTGTCGAAAAAACTTTTTCACAATGGCAACCGCGAATAAAAGAACGACGGGATATCTGCGTTTGAAATACGAATCGAATTCAAACAATGGCGTCCAGCAGTTCGCGCCTTTTTAAACAGCCGCACAAAGAGTGACAAGTAAAGAATTTTATTGACGAAATTGAGTGGTTGTAAAAAAATGAAATTTTTGTACTTAAGAGGTATTGTGACCAGCTACCGTGTTAACAGATTAATTACGTTCAGTTTTTAGTTTAATTAGAAATATCGGTCAACTGCGAAGTGAATTTGGTTCATAGTTTTTATCACTGGTAGATAAATAATAATAAAATTAACGTGCCAGATAACTAATTACCTTTAAACTACGGAATCCTAAGTGTGACAAGACCAGAAGCAATTTAGAAAAGTTAGTTTCCTGAATTGGTGCTACTGGTGGTATTGGTGGGAATCGATCCCGGAACCGTTTTTTTTGTGCGCCTTGTGGTAAGCGACACGCCCGTTCATAACAGTTGCAGTACCGCTTAAAGCGCACTGCCACTGAGCCTGTCGCCCTCAGACATAAGTTAACAAGACTCATGTGCCTGTAATTTCACCAGCACCCTCACTCTTCAAATCCGGAACGCAGTAACGCTCGCGTTACTGCTTGGCGGAAACAATAGGTAAGGTGGCAGTACTACCCTGGACGAACTCTCTTACAAGGAGTTCTACTGCTACGAACCTAATCCTCTTGTGCACTAGTGCTGGACCACCTACGTCGTAGAATAACTTTGATGTTATAAGTTTAACCTATGCTTTATGTAATTATATGTATCTTCATTGTTTTCACGGATTTCAAAAAAAATGATAAGTCTCTTTATATGCAATGTTCTCGCCTATCATCGTAAAGGGCCCAAATGATAGAAACATTTGATAGATAAGATTATCATTACATTTGTTTTTGTCTTTAGAATCCTATTGTGAATGATGTAGAGTAAATCATGTAAAACAAATACGACCTAATCGACAGTGGGCTAGATATATGCGTTCAATTTCTTACCAAAACCATGGTGACTTTCCCTCTTTAACAGTTCAATTCACCAGTGTCGCTAACTTATTAAGTCAAAGTCAAAGTCAAAGATTATTTATTCCATAGGTAAAATAAATTTACACTTGAAAACGTCACATTTAAGCTACTGCTCGTTCACTACGCTGACCTCCCTGAGAGGAACGAGCAAGAAACTCTAGGGATTGCTCTTTTCAAATAAACTTAAATGCTATGGAATACACTTTGAATCAAATTTGTGTGGATTCTGGAGCCGTCTCGTCTTTCCATACATCTTTATCTAACACGTAGTCTTCAATTTTGTAACATGATTTTTCGATCGAAATATTTTTAATGTAGTTTTTAAACTTAGGAAATGATAAACTTAATATATGCTCCGGAATCTTATTGTAAAAACGTATACAGTTCCCCGTAAAAGAGTTGTTTACCTTTGTTAAACGAAATCGTGGTACCCTGAGTTTGGACTTAGCTCTAAGGTTAATATTATGGATATATTCTTTCTTATTGAAATTATGTATATTTTTACGGGCATATAAAATATTTGAGTAAATGATTATTTTAAATCGTGTAAAATAATTTAAATCTAACAACCTAATATAATATTCGTCTTATTGAACATAGACAACAAGTTAAGGCGAGGTATTTCAACGCGAACCTACAGTTTGGGAGGTGAGGTGTGGGGGACCGCCCCTCACGTCTCGTAACCCGCGCACTTAAAATAATATTAACAAAATAAGAACAGGCGGAAAAAAATTGACACAGATCCGACGTGTACAAACTCCCGATGGCGACTGTCGGGGGCAGGATAATCAGTTGAAAACCAAAATTTAGCAGGCTCTGTGTAGTTCTTAAAGAGAGATATCTACGTATAAAAATTATTTGCAATTATGCTAGTTAGATATTTTATTCTTAAATAGTTACTTTTAGATTTTTATGTTAACCTGTTTTCAGGAAATCGTTCAAAATTATGCGACCGGGTAATACTATCCTGTAAATAATTAGCAAATTCTTTAGTTTCTTTAGTTTATGAATAGTATATTTTTAGTAAGATCGTTAATTAATAGCAAATACCTAAGCCATTTGATCTAGAAAAACAGTTTTTCCCGCTTCTTTTCCGGTGACACGGCTTATTATTTTTTTTCATTTAAATTAATTTGAATTTCAATTTAAATTAATTTGAATTTCAATTTAAATTCATTTGAATTTCATTTAAATTAACCTGAATTTCATTTAAATTAATTTGAATTTCATTTAAATTCATTTGAAAATCATTTAAATTCATTTGAATTTCATTTAAATTAAATTTAATTTCGTTTAAATTCATTTGAATTTCATTGAAATTCATTTTCTCTGAATAGATTTCAATGCAATTTAATGCTTCATACAAATTTTACAAAGACTTTAACGTATCTATAAATTCTTATTATACATATATCATCATCATCATCGTCAACCCTTTTACATGTCCCACTGCAGAGCATGGATCTCCTCATAGGCGAGGGTTTAGGATAACCGCTCACGCGATACATGCTGCGCGTAGACGAATACCACACCTAGAGGTGCCGATACGACCGATAGGTTACGATTTTATACCGATTTATCGGATATCGAAGTTATAACAGGTAAAAGAACTAATATTAATTGCTTTTTCGGTAACTACTCTAGCAAACCATAAAGTTTTTAATGCCTGGGTCTGTCATTTAAAAAAAATAAACAACTTCAAAAATACGTCACGATTATCGTGTGTGTTATTGTTTGGGCTGGTGATTTCGGTATTTATTTATTGAAAACATACCGTAAGTAGCGTTTTTTAAGTTTACCCTGAATATAAATGTTTATAAACTATACTTTAAGGAGTAATTTCATGGTAAACGTTAGAACCACTCAAACGGAATATTATCATATTTATCCAAGTACACCAAAAATTTCATTAGTGCTTTTTAAGTGCAGGATTTGCGGTATATTACTACATTTACATACATTTTATTTCAGATGTTTTTGTTAGTAGTACGGAGGTATTTTTTTAGCAACGCAGAATAATAATTTTTATTTATAAAACTTGTATTTAAACTGAATGCTTTTCTAATTTGCGAAACCAAATAGCCGCCATTTTGCGGTAGGAGGAGCGCATCGCGTGAGCGGATAATGCGGGTTGGGGACTTCACACGTTTTCCGAGGGTTGTGAACCTTCTTCAACATACAGGTTTCATCAAGATGCTTTCTTTCACCGAAAGCTCATGGAAAAATTCAAATGGCATTTACATATATGGCATATTAATACCGAGAATCTAAGAGTAAACAAAACTTTTTTGAACTACACTCAGGCACAAAATACAGATGACATGCTAAACATTATGCCATAATGACGTAAATTTTTACCCACTTAGAAAGCTCATCATAAAAACTGACACTGGCTCAAATCTGGTGGCCGCCATTAAGAAAAACAATAATAATAAAGTACATCACAAACCACTCAAATATGAAATAACTAATTACTTAAAAACCAAATCATGTGAATATTAAGTGACCAAGTAACTCGACAAGAAAGTTACCACAATACAAAAACATGAAATAAAAGTCTAAAGATGTTAAATAAGGCCACCCTGGATACTTGGATGTTTCAGGCCTAGAAGACTCGAGAAGCTGACAAGTTTAAGAGACCAATGGCGTCGGATTTAGCTGAATTTGCCAACAGCATCATTGGCGGAGAAGATTTTCATAGTGCACGGTCTTCAGGATTCTTTGACGAAAGTTCCAAGGTTAGTAAAGAGAATTAGATGATTGACTAGACCATTTGAACTTCCCAATAACTTTGGTTGGCGTGAACGAACGAGGACACGGCAAAAATATAACATTTAAAACAATAGTTTAACATAGATTAGGTTACCGAGTTCTTAGGTTTTCGCGATTGTTACACATAGGAAATTAAACTATTTTTCCGGATTTAAATCGCGTATATTTGTTTTTTCAAACAAACCGACGTTTCGGGCCCTTTACAGGTCCCATGGTCACGGTTGACTGAGGTGGTACAGTCTTCAACCAGTTATGTCTAATATTGATGCAAACCACCCTATTTTTTCACTATAGTTACAATAGTTATTAATTAAATACCTTATTTTTAATTTTACAAAGAAAACATTCCAATTTACGCTATATTAAGTTTTACAAATTATTTTATTGAATGAATTTTTATTAAGTTCAATTTATTATTAATTATTAATAGAAATTAGAATAAACTAAAACGAAACGTCGGTTTGTTTGAAAAAACAAATATACGCGATTTAAATCCGGAAAAATAGTTTCATTTCCTATAGATTAGGTTAAACAAACATTTCATCCTACGGCCACTGTTCTTGTTAATTTTTATCTACGAGTCATAGCAATTGCGAAAAAAAGTGGAAAAATTTTTATTTACTCGGAGTTAGAATGTATTGTTTTCATGGTGACCCCTTTCCTACCTTTTAAGAGTAACACACGGCGATTTTTATTTCTCATAAAAACTACATATTCTCTTACTGAGAAACTTAACTAATTCAGACTTACAAAAGAAATGAAGTGCACTAAAATAAAAAGCCAATAAAAATATATGTAGGTGACAAGCGAACACAGATATACGATGCGCACTATGCGGCTACAACACGATCAGTAATGTGTAAGAATAATTTCCTTTTCTGTTCTTTTTTTTGTGTTTACAATAATTTCAGTAAAATAAACACTTAATAATTTAAGTCTGTTTGGGATTTTTCATCAGAGAAAATACTGGATCCCAAACTGGAGCTACGGACAAACCATCTTCCCTGTTGAAATTAGGATTTTTTTTAAATTTCAATGGCCTCTCGCAGCATCCAGGGTAGATAACGGACTTCTTTTGCAAGGGCCTGGGGTTTGTCAAACTTCATTGAAAGTGTAGGTGTAGGCTCGCAGATTGCAGACTTGTTTCGCAATGATGTTTGACATTGACGCGGGTACAAATACTCGCTTCGTTTGTCCAATATAAGAGAGACCAAAAGAAAAAAATATTACACCTCTAAGGGTGGCAAACTAGAGGATGAATCTGATTCTGCGCACTTTCCGGTGACCGATTTTAATAAAACTTGGCAAATAGATGTAGGTAATACCACGAACTTTTGAGGTCGATTGTTTTTCATATGGTCTATTCTTGTTAAAATACAATTCTTTGTTTCAGAGTATTATGCAGACTCGTAGCAAATTGGTAAGTGCCATTACTTACTTATGATTAATTGTACCAACTAAAACAATTTATAATAGGGTTTATGTAATTTTCCTTCTACATAATATATGATGTTTGAAGACCCGTCTATGTAATCAGTGTGTTCTGCCTACCACGACTTACGGTGCCGAGACCTGGACGCTCGCGAAGGAAGCTGTGTATAGAGTGAGAGTTATACAGAGAGCCATGGAGCGTGCCTGCTCGGCATTGTCCAGATTTGAAGTCGAACGAAGGCAAAAGATGTGGTTAGTCGCATCACGGAACCAAAGCTGACACCAGCCTGGACACATTACACGGAAACAAGATGACAGACGAAGTTTTTAGTAGCACAAAGTACTGCCACCTTACCTGTTTCTGCCGCCAAGCAGTAATGTCAGCATGTTCCGGCTTATAAATTATAGGCACATAAGACTTGTCAACTACGTCTCAGGGTGACGGGCGCAGTGGCAGTGCCACTAAAATCTTTCAATTTAAAGCTCTGAGTGGCACTACAACTGTTATGGACAGGCGTATAGCTTACCATCAGGCGCACGACTTGTTCGTCCCGTCACTTGATATTATAAAAAAAAGTAAGGCGATGACTAAGTTGCGTCCATAGATTGGGTACAGGAGTGTTAGGCGTCCAGTGGCGTGATGGGCAGATGATATCGCACGCATCGCGGAGCGAACCTGGACGAGACTAGCGCAGGACCGTGAGTAGTGGCACAAAAACTTGGAGGTTTCCCCCCAGCAGTGGGTGAAATCAGGCTTTTTAAGATAATATGAGAAATGACACAAACATAGATTAACACAATAAAATTTGAGCATTCAGTCTCGGGGCGTTTCTTGTCAAACCTAAAATATCCTAGAAACACAAGGAATAAAATAGAAATACGGCCCATACGACGCCCTAATTTGGAATTTTACAGTAGAACGACGTTTGTATTAGCACCCAAATTAATTAATAAATTACCAGACGCTGTTAAAGAGTTAAATTGTAGACAATTTAGAATGAAATTGCATAATTTGTTACTTACTCAATGCTTAATACAATATTGATTTTGATAAAATTTAACTATTGTATATAATATTTTTGATTTCCTATTTTCTGGTTAAATTCCAATTGGTGTTGTTTGTTTATGCTATTGTATCAATTTAACGTTAATGCATGCTACATCAAAAGTGAATTAAGCATGTGTAAAATATTCGCATGCCAAGATTTGGTGAAATATACGACCTAATATAATATACTATAGGACCTGCATTGTTAACTACATTTGTCAGCGAATAAACATCTTATATTTTTGTAGTCTTGTCCCGTCATGCCTGCTGTACCCAACAGTCAAAACCGCACAGTACAAAAATATCGTAGACCGCACGTATTTTTAAAAAGAACTCTCTGTGCTGCAGAGTAGCGACCTACCTTCATCCTCATCGATCGTGATCCTGGGAGACCAGAGCCAGTTGAGCCGAGACGTCGACCGATGGATAAATGGCGAAAGTGAGAGCACCACTGACACGCCAGCCAATGTAATAGTCCAAGGAGTCAGTAATGTCAGGTAGCTATTGTAATCCATAATGTTCACTAAAGTACCGGCACGCTATTATGGCCGTTTTGACGTTTGTCCGCTCATCAAGTTTCGTATTAATTCATACTACGTTGAAGTAGCTAATTGCTGTTCATTGTTGTCAATAGTGCGGTGCAGTAATATTTATGGATGTATAATTTTACGACATAACGTGACATCGAAATTTAAAAAAATGAAATCTAATTCGATCATCACATAAAGGATCTCTGTCCAGCACAACTTCTACCTTCTAAACTCGCGTCAAGGCTCAATGCAAGACAAAGAAATTTCGAATTGACGATGTATTAAGTAAACATTTTTATTTTCGTTTTATTCGAACTTTTTAATCAGCTACCGCTTGTAATTCTAGTTATTAGTCTAAAAACTTATACATGATATTGATTACATTTTTTTTTGTTACGATTTGGGATTTGACCTCACTATAGTAGTCTGTCAAAATGGCCATCATAGCGTACCGGTATTGTAGACTTGTGCGTAGCATAAGTGCCATGCTATATTTCCAGCAGTATACTGCTATAAATATATAGTCTGTCTTTTTTTAAAACGGAGTAAAATGACATTTGCAGGGTTGCCATATTTTTTATAAAATTATAAATAGTTATTGTCGACAGTTTTATCGATAGATAGTGGAAGAAGGTGAAAAATGCCAAAAATGCCAGAATTGTGAATGTTACCACATTTTAATGACTACAAATTGCGTTATCTATATATTTATACTATATTTAATATGTCTCCTCGTTTGTATTTTTACATAACTAACAAAAATTGACAATTCCAATGAAATTTTACCCAGCAATTGAACCAATAATGGTCTGATGTTGGTTCAAATGAAACAAGTTCGGTTTTCTTGTTGCATAAGTATGACTAACATTCAGTCGATAGTCGATAGAATATTTATAGACTGCAATCCCTAGCTGCTTGCAAGCTGGCAACACTTTTGCACAATGGACTGTCATTTTACTCCTATCTTCAAAAAAGACCTACAAATTGCTATAAGTTCCAAACCTATGTCTGCGTATCTATATGTAGTAGCAGTAGAGTAAATTACCATCGTGCGCGCGTCTTGTTCGTCCCTTCACTTACAAATATAATCATGTTACGTGGTGTAATGAATGATTTTGACAATTAGTGTAACTTTAGTGAAAAACGTGCTATAAGTTGCTTTTCTCTTGTATACAACACACACATAATCAATTTAGTATGTCCCACGTAAAATTTTGATTGTAAGAATTACAACTGAAATCGAAATCTTTAGCTTCCATCTATATGCGATTGTCAGAACTAAGTATTATTTCCACACAACTGAATCAAAATAAACCCCTTGTGGCTAAAAAACTACAAGCCTTTATATAATCGTTGCTAAAATAATCCATAATGTATGACACAGTCGGAAGGTGTGTGAAGGCGCTCACCCCGAGACCGCGTGCATTTAACTGTCATGGCAAAATACGCTCTATTTGTTTAGTTTTAATTTTTTTACTAAAACGAGCGCTCCGGACGCGCTGGACGAGGCTGGCTTGTATTTGACCTACGCTGCGGCCGCGCGGCAACCGCGCGGTTTCTTCCAAGGACTTTAAAGTTGTTGCCTATTAAATAAAATTCAGCTTCGCCATTAACGTACGTGGTGAGAGCGTGGTACCTGAGTGCTATAATTTTGTTTTTTTTTCATACATACCTTCAAACACATTTGAACTTATTTTAAGCTTACCCTTACCAGCAAGTGCACGACTTGTTCATCCCATTTTCTGACATAGTGCGTTTTTCACGGAGGGTACACGATAGTAAATTACAATAAGTACATGTATTGGCTCTGCGCAATAATTTATATTAATATAGAAAGTGGTTGCTTTATTTTTACCCTTCCCCGTTATTGATCTCTTTCGTATTTCTTCCAATAAAATGTCAGTATTTTGTCATAAAGTTGTCCTCTATGGCCGTATACTGATTTCTGATCGGAAAGTTATGCCTCAAAATTACGCAGTTGAATTTCGGCACGAGTATCCACTCTCTGCTTACCTGTGGTACTGCGTATGCTTGTTCTCAGGAAACAGTCCATTTACAATGAGATGTTTACAAAAAACTTTGTATTTTTAATCCAGGAGTAATACAACTTGCACTAATAAAGACATATTTTTGCATAACTGTAGAGCTACTTGTGAAACAGTTCGTCCAGGGAAGTACTGCCACCTTACCTATTTCTGCCGTCATGCAATAATGTGAGCACCACTGCGTTCCGATTTTGTTCTTCTTCTTAGTGTGTTGACTCTGACGGTTATATTTCTGAGGACCAGTACTCAGCGACTGATACAGCATTCAGTGGCGTTGTACAGGTCCTCGCCTGTGCAGGTGTAGGCGGGGCACGCAGGACAAAACAAAAGATGTGCCATAGTCTGCGGAGAGACACCACAAATACATGCGCTCTCTGAGCTATAACCCCACCTGTGCATCCTTGCTTCGGCCGAATTGGTTCCGCAGTCTATTTAAAGATTTCCAAGTGTGTCATAGATAGATAGATAGATTATGCCCAGGAGGGAGGTGCTCCGACAGCGGAATGAGTGATGCTGTTGGGTATCTCTCCTTCCAGAAATTTATACGGACTTGATTAGTTTCCCCGTCCAGAGGGAATACTTCTTTAATTAAGCTATTCCTAAGCCGACTCTTTGCCTCTGGATTACCGGCACGTGATGGTGTAACGGGTGTCGCGGGTCAGTCTTTTTTTTTAAGCACTCCAGGGAGCTAGCCACGTCTCTGCGGACGTACGGAGGGGCAACACCGACCAGCAGATACAGCATACCAACAGGGTTTGGTTTCAGACAGCCCGTAATGATTCGACATGTGTCATTTAGTGCCGTGTCCATCAGGTACGGCTATGCTGAACGGCTCCAAACTGGGCTAGCGTATTCACTTGCTGAAAAGGAAATGGCTAGTCCGGTCGTTCGCAAAGTTTGTGGCGAAGCTCCCCACTTGGAAGATGTAACGCGGCGCAGGAGGTTGTTTCGATTGCCCACTTTCTGCTTGGTATTAATGCAGTGTTGTTTGTAAGTTAAGGCTCTGTCCAAAGTAATACCGAGATATTTTGGAGTGTAGCAGTGGGCAATCGGCACATCCCTCCATCGGATGTTGAGTGTCCGCCGAGCCTCACGATTACGAAGGTGGAAGGCGCAGGACAGAGTCTTTGAAGGATTCGGTCGCAAGGAATTTTGCTCATAATAGCAGCTAAGGATTTCTAGTGCTCCGCTGAGATTCCTTTCGACTTCCTCAAAAGCTGGGGCTTGAGATGTCAGGTTCAGATCGTCGGCGTAAATGAAGGATTCGGTATTCGATGTATGAGGCTGATCGTTCGGTTCCGGTTTTGAAGGGTAAGGGTGCTGATGACATTACAGGCGCATGAGACTTCTCAACTTCTGTCTCAGTTTCGTAACGTTACTTGGACTCATTAAAAAATACAGTATTTAGTAAAATAAGTTTTTTTTAAGTAAAATTGAGGGCATACTACATAGCTAAAGTCTGTTCTAATCCATTTTCAACAAAAAGTGAACAAAATTGTTTGGTTAAAATTCTAAAATAACCACTCAATAACTCGAACAAGTAACACTTTTACGTATATCTCGAAGATTTCGACTTGATATCTCATCGCTTTTTCCAACAAAATTTATTTGAATAGCATCGTAAAATTGTATTTGAAAAATGGTAGTCCAAAAGTGAGGTTATTTTTCATCTATACATCCATGACGTGTCCATGGTTGCATAGTGCTGTATGAAAAAAAAACCATTCGGTTCATTCAATTAAAGTTTTTATAATCGATTAGTAAATCCAATATTTCAATCGCAATCGAACGAGTATCTAAGTGTAAGGATTTAAAGGACGACTTGGAAATTTTAAATATACTTATATAGGTTATGTAGGGAAAACCACTAGTATGACTCAATTGAACAAATCGAATCATTCAATTAATTAATCGATTTGTAGTTAGCATTACAGTTGACATCACTAAACCGTCTATGGTCAGTGGCTTGTTTGTTTACATTTTGTTGAAAATGGATTGAAACGCAGTATAATACATTGGGGATATCCCGTTACAGTTTGCTGAGTCTCGGAAGGTTTTGACGTCGTTCCCCGGGACAAGCATATACAGCGGTACCTCTAATTCAATTTGCGTTAACTTTCCCACTGGTGTATCAAATTGTGTTGTGACCAATCGCAATGTTTTCACAGAATTACCAGCCGACGCTATTCGCCGTGCAAAAGCGCTAATGTTGTGTACGGAGCCAATACATACGAGTACATCATAATGTAAATGTTTACTTTATTGTTAAAGGTTTCCTTACACGAACGACATCACTGTTTTATGTAATTTTTTTGTAATGGTATATGGTTCAGAACTCGAGTACTTGTAGTTACCATAAACTACTGTTAACTCGTTCGTGTGTGGAAGCTCTAAGTACATATTATTTTAAGTGTACCAGAATGATGGCACTAGTAGGAAAAAATGTACTAAATATTTATCATCAACTTAAGAGTTGTACTCTTGTCAGTGGAGCCTCTTCCAGTCATCTCTCCTACAAGCCAGCTCCTTGACCTCCTTATACGACACGACACACTGGACACTTCATATATTTTAATTGACCAGTATTGATCCTCATACATGTTTTAAGATCTGTATGAATTTGTGTATGAGAAAGGGAAGTAATTTCTGACACCTTTTAAAATGAAACAAAAATATATCAATTACATTGTGGGTGATACATTTATTTACGTTTGCAGTTTGAAGTAAGTCGCATTTACGCTATTTGTCTTTTTTTATCAATCATTAAAAAAAGAATAAATCTACACACTGTAGTCTTGCAGACCAGCACCAGTACCAACAAAAATACATACCACAAACATTGATTGGCCTTACTTAAAATTCCTACTAATCTGCAAGAATCTGAAACCCGCTTCTAAATCGTGAATTGTGACTTAGATGCACTTAATTTGTTGCTTATTTTGCGATACAAATTATTACGATGTTTTTTGCTTGAGATTGAAGATTCTCAGTAATTATTGCTGTACATAATCGTTATTTTCAAGTGAAAAAAGTTTAGTAGACAGCCATTGACTTACAAATAAATGGACGACGGGTCTAATACAAAAACCACGAAAAAAATGTCCCAAGTCAACCTATTCGAAATTTAAATTGTAATGTCATCGCAGTATCGCGCTGTCAGTAGAACAAATGAAGACTAAAGCGGAGTTTGGCGCTCTGTATACGATTTTAGCGCCTTACAAGTGCGGACACTTTTTAGCGCGGACCCGACGTCCATATAATTGTAAGTCAATGTAGACAGCCAATAAACAGAAGTAATATTTTGAATTGACTTACGACAAGTTAACATTGCCAGAAGCTTGATTTTGATTACCTCTCTCGAGTCGAGGCGCATGTGAATTGTCATTTACAACTGACCGATCTCGGAATCATCAATCAATCGGAAGAATAGTTGATATAACTCACAAATGAGAGATATATAGTACTAAGAAAAGATGAACGTGATCGTTCATCTTTTCACTCAGAAACCCATCTGATTTCGGAATTATCCTATCGGATCGCTTGCGATTTGAATCAAAATCAGCACGCAGGTGAAAGTTGTTCGATTTTTCTAATATTTAATGCTACGAGATTCTGATACACCCTGTCCAACGGTCTTTATTCTGTGAAGTAAACTCGCTCCACATTTGTATCCAGATTTTCAGAGATAATCGTACTAGGGGGACTACTTTCGATCTCTGTCCGAAATCCATCCGAAACAATTACTGTCAAATAAGTAATATTCGACAAAATTAAAAGACAAGTATCCAGTATGAAGCTTCATTCGCATCACGCGTTTTCAAGTATTGCTTATTTGGCAGGAACGCATGTAGAGCAATGTTTATGGGAAAAAGGTTCTTATAACAACTAACATTACACCTTTTATATTTAATATTCAGGGTACCGGCTAGGTTGAACAGGCCGCCGACAACGGTGGAAAGGGTTCAACCCCCCGTTATGCAACCGAGCACCTCCTTTACAAACGACATGTGGTGCTATGTTCTGGCGTTGTTACTGCCCGTCTTCAGTTTTAGCAACTGCGCGAACTGGACGTACAACCCCGGGTAAGAAAACAGTTTTGTCCTATCACTGATATCGTAACGCCATCTATTGTAATTTGGGATTACAAAAATGCATGTGGCGCCATCTGTTGACAGCATCGGATACTGCGTAATTATATGATCCACAAACGTTACCTTAAATACATACCAAAAAGTAAGGATGGCGCTATACAATATTATTGAATTTGAACGTCTGTTCACGACTTCATGAATTCTAAAAATGAGTGACATAAATAAGATCTTTTTAAATCTTGATTATTAAAAGTTTAAAGAAAGAAACAATCCAATGAAAAACTTTTTCAATGGTTTTGCACAAAAAGTATTTGGAAACTAAAGTGGTCTATGAAAACGGAGTATATGTGAAACAATGTCTATATCAATTTTGAGGCTACGTAAGTACATAGATATTATAGATAATATTATGTAACAAATTTTCAAAAAGGTTGTGTCACTGTAATCTCATGGTGTTGAGATTATAGTGACACTTAACGTAAAATTTATATTTACGACATGTTGTTTCTTCTTATGACCGCTACGGGCGCTGTATAAGTTGCCACACTAAATTGTGAAGTAAATTACGCGGTTTCTGCGACAACTGTCACAGTAAACTTGGACAGACGTGTCACACCATACACACGACTAGTTCGTCGCGTCACTCTGAAACAGACAACTAACCAATTACCTGGTCTCAAAGTAGGAAATCTCTATATGGAGGAACAAAATTGGGGTATTACCTAGAACAGACGTACTAAAATTAATTTAGAAAAATTAATTTCCGCAATTTCTTCCTTCGGGGAATCGAACCTGTGACGTCCTCATTTAGTGCCTATAGTGCTAACGGCTAGCAGCCGCTAGGCTACCGAGGGTGACGTGCTACCAAGAAGTAGTGTGAGCATTTCTGTGTTCCGGTTTTGAAGGGTGATATTACGGACACATAGCACTTGTCAACTTTGTCTGAAGATGACGACCGCAGCGGGAGTGCCCCACAAATCTTTATAATTCACAGCTCTGAGTGGCGTTACAATTGTTATGGACAGACGTGACGCTTACGCATTTGGTTTTGGTTTGGAAAAAGGAGGATTACATTGCGGGCGCGGTACGTTTAAATGAAATGTTCCTTGACGCTCTTTGTGTTCACGGTTGTCACGCGTTGGCGCCTCTAGATGGGCACGGGACGCGCGTGATCGCTAGATCTATTAGCTCGTACCTTTCACAGTGCTTGGTCTAGCGTCTGTTTGCAATTTCGACGTGTGGATCTACCCGCTCGTAGACGCTTCGGCACTGTGAAAGGGAATACGCCAAGACCCGCGCGCCCTCACCCGGCGCTGCGCCCGCGCCTTCACTCTGAATGAGCCCTCTGATTGAGGCACGAGCGAAGCAAGTGTTTCAGAAATATAATCCTGAGCGTAGCGAGGGTTTCAAGGCACAAGACGAACTTTGCTGCCACACTATAGCGTAAAAAATTTTAGATGAAAGAAAAACAGTTCAACTATAACAAATCAGTTTTAATAAATAAAATTAGTTATCGTTGTCAAGTTAATGTCAACAATAATAAGAACCAACGGATTTATAAGTAATGTAATCGCGTAGTTAGACGTGTCATTATCTCTCACGTTTTCAGGCTTTTGCGCGCTGATTTCTAATAAAAAAAAAGACCTTTCCGAGCTAGTGAGGTGAAAAAGTTATTTTTTTTATTTCACAGCCTGATAGTGAACACAGCGGAACTATTCGTAATGAGTCTGTCCCGCGTGTGTACGCAGGCGCATGCGCGTTTCCTGCAACTCGCGCAGGACCGGGTGAGACTTACCAATGTACAGCTTAAAGTTTGTGTTTCACAATTTGCCTGTATTTTGCATGACTGAGCACTTGATGAAATAATATATTTTATGTATACGTGTGGCGCACTATAAGTTTCCGGAATGAATAAGAAAAAAATACTATAAATGGTCAGAAATTAATTTATTGTTTCTCAAAATATCCTCCGTCAGCGTTAATGCACTTTTTCATACGAATGAACCAATTTCGACAACATTTATGCCACTCCTCCGTGACATTTCTAATACATAATATTTTTCATACTCTTCGACAGCTTCTTCGGGTAATGAAAATCGTTGACCGCGTAACTGGTTCTTAATTTTTCGCGATTGTTATACATAGGAATGAAACTATTTTTCCGGATTTAAATCGCGTATATTTGTTTTTTCAAACAAACCGACGTTTCGGGCCCTTTACAGGTCCCATGGTCACGGTTGACTGAGGTGGTACAGTCTTCAACCAGTTATGTCTAATATTAATGCAAACCACCCTATTTTTTCACTATAGTTACAATAGTTATTAATTAAATACCTTATTTTTAATTTTACAAAGAAAACATTCCAATTTACGCTACATTAAGTTTTACAAATTATTTTATTGAATGAATTTTTTATTAAGTTTAATTTATTATTAATTATTAATAGAAATTAGAATAAATTAAAACATATTAATTAGTACTGCAGTCTTATGTCTGTTTGGGATTTTTCATTAGAGGAAATACTGGATCCCAAACTGGTGGTACGGAGAAACCATCTTCCCTGTTGAAACGTCGGTTTGTTTGAAAAAACAAATATACGCGATTTAAATCCGGAAAAATAGTTTCATTCCTATGGTTCTTAATTTTTGGAAATAAATAAAAGTCACAAGGGCCTGGTCGGGGCTGTATGCGGAATGGCTCATAAGGTCAACGTTGTTCACCTTAAAAAATTCATTTGTCTGTCTGGCCGTGTGAGAACTGGCATTATCGCAATGCAAGATGATACGGCGTTTACAGTTATTTTTACGGACTTTGTCAATAACTTCCGGCAAACAAATGGTCGTGTACCAATCACTAGTCACGGTACAACGATTCTCTAAAGCAACAGTAGCCACATGTCCGGTTTTATTAAAAAAAGAAGCAATCATCCGCTTAGAGGCACTTTACACGCTCGCACTTTGGTTGGTTTTAGCTCATCTCGAAAGACCCATACGCTCGATTACTGCTTTGTTTAGGGATCGTAACTATAAATCCATGTTTTGTTATCTGTTACTATGTCCCACACAAAATTTGACGCCCCTTCGTTGAATCTGGTAAGCATAGCATTGCACCAAGTGACGCGACCCTTTTTTTAAGCCTCAGTCAAATTGTGTGGGATCCACCGAGAGCACAGCTTCTTCACACCCAAATGTTTGTGTAGTATTGATTGTATTTGATTCATGCCTATGCCTAAAGATGTCCGAAACTCATGATATGTCACATGCCTGTCTGTTTTGATCATACGGCGCACAGCATCGATGTTTTTGTTGTTCACAGCAGTGGATGGGCGACCATCACGAAATTCGTCACTGAGACTCACACGACCGCGTTGGAATTCTGCAAACTAGCTATAAATAGTCGTCTTGCATGGTGCTTCATCGCCAAAAGCAGTTTGAAGCCGAGTGAAGCTACGCTGAGCTGTTAAGTTCCACTTAAAGTCGAAGAAAATGATACTACGAAAATTTTCTCGAGTTACATCCATTGCGATATAGACAACCAATTTCTAAAATGACGCCACAATGTAAAAACAAGTGACAGTCAGATGAAACAAACTGTATTATACAGCCAAAGAGTTCCATTTTCAAATGCTGTAATTACTTTTTAAATATTGTTTATGTAAGTGGCCAGTTCCGGAAACTTATAGTGAGCCCTATGTAGTAGTATAGTAGTAGTTGTAGAGTGGATAATACTATGGTATAATGGGACAAGTTACAGACATATATCTAAATAGACACCGCAAGTACCGCGATCTGTATGTAAAATAAACATATTTTGATAAAACATATCAGGCGCGTTTGCAGGCGGACGTGCCTTCTGCAAATTGTATTAAAATTTTAATAACAATGAATTTCGTAACTGTGTCAATATAGCTTCCGCTTAAATCTCTGTCAGCGCATCGTGCGGTTATTTGGTGTTACGTTAAGATTACGCTACGAGAAGACAAATGTGACGCCATTTTAGATTACCTTTTTGTATGGCTCTTGGTTACATTGGTTTTAAATCTAAAATTATCAATTGCAGATCGCGCGCGAATTTGTAGCTACAATAATGGATATAATGCTGGTGGTGTACGCCATTGGTTTCCTTGTACTCTCCATGTACCAAGCTTCTGTCTCCATCTGATCCTGAACGTCCCTACCATTGTGCATTGTCTACACTGACTATAATTTTCAGTTAAGAATCTTTACCGTGGGATATTACAAGTTTTAATAAACATGCTGTAGTTTTATTGGTCTTACCGAAGATGTTACCACTCTTAAAAGAAATTAAGCATCAAGAGCTCGACCTGAAGTACGGACTTATGATATTAATTATGCAACAGAGAATGCCCAAGAGCGATGCCACACGAATTGACACGATGCGGTGACGCTCCGTTGTTGCTACTTAACTATAATTTATTTGACATGTAGTTCTAATTATTAGAACTAAGGACGCGTTCAAATTAGGCACTGTTAGAAACGCTGCAGCCGCGCGGCGGAAGCGCGACACTCGCGTTGCTGAAGTGCGGCCAAATTTTTATCTTTCGATTCAGTTACGCGATGGATTCTGACGAAGAAACATTAATTTTACTTATTTTATTAAAACTGAAGAATAAAAAAAAATAATAGCAGAACGTATAGAATACGTTCGTTACCTTTATTTTGTCAAAATAATAAAAAAAAATTCGAAAATTATATTTGAATGAATAGAATCATGATTATACTCTTAGAAAGCCATATTCAACGACAAAAAACCATCTTTGGAAACACTTATTTGTGCAAAAGAACGACTTATATTACGCTGAGGTGAGTAAAAAACTTGGATATTTTATCCTATATTGCAGGGTGTTGTTTTACATTCTCTATAAATTCTTCAATTCGATTTTCATCCATCGTGGTTAATTTGAAAAATTAACATGTACACCTCATTAAATGTGACTGCAACTGAGCGTGACTGCAGCGCGACTGTCGCGCAGCCGCCGCGCGGTTCCAGCGCTTCTATAAATTGTATGAAATGTGACAGTCGCGCTGCTGCAGCGCGTCTAACAGCGACTAATTTAAACTCGCACTAAATGTCACATGCTGCGTTGAAACTGAATGCTCGAGCATCGGACAAGGGGCTAGGGGGCCTACCACATAACATACTACCACGTAACATAGTTTTAAGAAAAACAATGTTGACCTTTAATTGACTTTTCGTACCATGACGCGCTTAAAGTAAGCTTATTATAATGTTAAAACTCATTGCCTTACAATTATATGGACGTCGGGTCCGCGCTAAAAAGTGTCCGAACTTATAGGGCGTAAAATCGTATACAGAGCGTCATTCACGCTTTAGTCTTCGTTTGTTCGACTGACAGCGAAGCAAGCAAAATTAGACAGTACTGCGATGACATTACAATTTAAATTCAACGTTTTAGCTTTTTCATATTCCTTTACATGTCACTACGTTTAAATAGATTGACTTGGGACATTTTTTTCGTGGTTTTTGTATTAGACCCGTCGTCCATTTATTTGTAAGTCAATGATTTTCAAGGTTGTTATTAAAGTATACAGATTTTATGATTCGAAAATGTATGTAAACGTAAGGGTGAGGATGCAAAAAGAGGTTTGCACGATCTTCTCAATTTTTTTCGTGATTTTTTAAGCAGTTACTTACGGAATAACAAAATAATACAATATTATTTAAATTTTCCATGTCCAAGTGCAGAAGAATAAGGTTATATGACAATATTAAACTAAATGAGTTACGTTTCTTAATACGACAGTTGACAATAGAATTATGTTCTCGTAGAAATAATTACGCGAAATAACCATACACGCAGTTATCATATTTTATTCCCGTTTCAAACTGTTCGTAGAATAAAGCAAAAGTTGATTATCATATCATGGTTTCATGGTAACAGCAGAGTAAAAGACCTTTCCAAAAAAATATCTTGTTATGTTTACGAGAATATATGATGATATGTAATTATTATCTTCGCTACTTCTACTATTGTACCCCGTAGAATAAAATGATCAATTAAGTCAATGGTGCAATACTTGTTTTCGGCTCAGACACAACGAGAATAAAATCATAATCCACAATATAAATCCAACATGATGATCGATTTTGACTAATTATTTATTATTGAAATATCACATTTTGGCTTAAGTTACGGCTGTTTCATTTATAATATAGAATTCACAAAAAATCTTCTTTTCTGAAAGCTATTTATTAATCTACCTACGTTCAGTATTTAAAAACTTATCAATGAAGACTTGATTTTTATTTTTCCTGAAATATTACTTTGTTGCGATTATCATTTTGTTTTCCGGGGATGGCGATATGTATATGCATCATCTTGGTTTTCCTATAAAATAAATAGGTAAAGTACCGGATGTCTAGTACATTGATTTATTCGTCTGAAATGTGCATATAATGAGTTATCATAAAATACCGAGTACTTAACTCGTGACATACTTACTATCTTTAGAAAATGACTCATATTTCCGACAATGTCAAAGTCAAAGATTATTTATTCCATACATTGACTTACAAATTCCCTAGGTAAAATAAATTTACACTTGAAAACGTCACATTTAAGCTACTGCTCGTTCACTCCCTGAGAAGAACGAGCAAGAAACTCTAGGGATTGCTCTTTTCAAATAAACTTAAATGCTATGGAATACACTTTGAATCAAATTTGTGTGGATTCTGGAGCCATGTCGTCTTTCCATACATCTTTATCTAAGACTACGTCTTCAATTTTGTAATATGATTTTTCGATCAAAATATATTTTTTAATGTAGTTTTTAAACTTAGGAAATGATAAACTTAATATATGCTCCGGAATCTTATTGTAAAAACGTATACAGTTCCCCATAAAAGAGTTGTTTACCTTGGTTAAACGAAATCGTGGTACCATGAGTTTGGACTTAGCTCTAAGGTTAATATTATGGATATCTTGTTTCTTAATGAAATTATGTATATTTTTATGGGCATATAAAATATTTGAGTAAATGTACTGTGATGCCACAGTCATGATACCAGTCTCCTTAAACTTTTCTCTGAGAGAAACCCGAGAGCCTAGACAGTACACAGAACAAATCGCTCGATTTTGCAATACAAATATGGTTTGAATATCTGTCGCTTTACCCCACATGTGAATCCCGTAGGACATTATACGATGGAAGTAACTAAAGTAAACTAGTCTAGCAGTACTAACATCTTAATCTGCCGGGCAGGGAAGATATATGTGGAAACCATTGAAGTTTACTATCTAAGGTCACTCCCAAGAAGACCGCTTTATTAACAAGGTCTAACTTTTCTCCGTTTATTTCTATGCTTGGACTAGTCGATTTTACGTTAGGTAATTCAAATTTAACACATTTTGTCTTCTTGGCATTAAGCAATAAATTGTTAGCATTAAACCAATAAACTACCTTAGAGAGGGTATCATTAATATGGTCATAGTTAATGTGTCATCAGCAAACAACAATATCACAAGAATGCAGTTTATCAATTAACCTAGATAAACACCTGATAGTAGTTGTTTAATTTATAGTATAAAACATTAAATGCAAGCTTTGTAATAAATTTTAATAGCTCTACTCTCATTGTGAAAGAATTCGTCCTAGTCAGAGTGCTGTCGCCTTGGTCATTTCTGCTGTCTAGCAGTCAATTGATACTACCTCAAAAAAAAGGGAAAAATGGGAAAACTATATAGTAAAATTATGGATATACACTGATATACGGTGTAAAAACACGATTTATGATAGAAAAAAAAACACACATTTACCTCGAAATTGTATAAGAAAACTGCTATATTCAATAGGTGGTTTATATATACCATTTTTTAAAGTATCAACTGTACTAAATAAAACACGTATAGTTATATTATAGTTATTGTTATATACATTTTTCAAATCGCTTCAATTTCGTTTCTAAAAACATAAATTCTGAAATAAACCCAGTTTCCCTGCCGACCCGCACAATAAAATCAATTTAGTACGGGAAAAATTTGTGAGAGGTAATATAGACTCATAATATAAACATTGCATTCCGGTTTTTAAGGGTCGTGCAAAGGTCGGAACAAGTCGTGCGCCTGGTGGTAAGTGACACGTCCAGAGATGGGCAGTGGGTTAACCTAAATAAACCATCAGCGTCTTTAACCGGTTTTAATTAATGTCTGCAAAATCTCGCGCAGAAATGGCGCATATGGCATGATTTCATACTTACTAAAAGTTTCGATGTAAAATGGAAAATCTTTTTTAAACGTAAAAGATCGTTAGGATTCTCACTATTAAGGATGCACATTATGATCCGATTTTTATGAAAATCAGTTCAATCGATATACTATGCCAAAATCATTGACTTACAATTATATGGACGTCGGGTCCGCGCTAAAAAGTGTCCGAACTTATAGGGCGTTCAAATCGTATACAGAGCGTCATTCACGCTGTAGTCTTCGTTTGTTCGACTGACAGCGAAGCAAGCAAAATTAGACAGTACTGCGATGACATTACAATTTAAATTCAACGTTTTAACTTTTTCATATTCCTTGACATGTCACTACGTTTAAATAGATTGACTTGGGACATTTTTTTCGTGGTTTTTGTATTTATCCATTTATTTGTAAGTCAATGCTTGAAAACGTCAGTTTTTAAGCTACTGCTCGTTCACTACGCTGACCTCCCTGAGAAGACCGAGCAAGAAACTCTGGGGATTGCTCTTTTCAAATAAACTTCAATGCTATGGAATACACTTTAAATCATAATTGTGTGGAATATGGACTTTTGTTTTCTTTCCATTCTTCTTTATCTAAAACATACTCTTCAATTTTGTAATATGACTTTTCAATTAAAATACTTTTAATGTAAGTTTTAAACTTAGGAAATGATAATCTTAATATATTCTCCGGAATCTTATTGTAAAAACGTATACAGTTCCTCATAAAAGAATCGTTTGCCTTAGTTAAACGAAATCGTGGTACCATGAGTGTGGATGGTTTGGACTTCGTTCTAAGGTTAAATTGTGGATATCTTCTTTCTTAATGAAATTATATATATTTTTACGGGCATATAACATATTAATGTACATGTAAATGTACCTACTGTGATACCACAGTGCAAGATACCAGTCTACTTAAACTTTTCTCTGAGTGAAACCCGAGAACCTAAACTGTACACAGAACGAACCGTTCGTTTTTGCAACACAAATATGGTTTGCATCGCATGAGAA